CCTTCCCTGGAGCCCTTCCTGATCCGCTTGGACGCAGCCTGTGCCCATGCTCTGGGGTGGCACTGGGTGATCCCTAGAGGTCCCGGMCACSCTCACAGATTCTGTGATTCTAATGTGGAATTTCTCTGCCAGGAGCCTTGTGGGGCAAGCAGTGCGAGGCTTCCCTGTCATAAAGGTGCTGAGGCCTTGGGGATGCAGTGTTATTTTTGCGAGGAGGCCTTTCTGAACAAGGTGCTGCCCAGAGCTGCATCTTACAACAGATAGATATCCCTGCTATAAGTCAGGCTGAGATAACTCTCCGTTTGCGGTGCAAAGGAGGCCTGTGGTGATGTGCTGCTTGACCGTGTGCAGCTTCTTCRACGTCTCCCTCTTCCCCCGTAGGTAGTGATGATAACGGGGGACAATCCCCTCACCGCCTGCCACGTGGCCCGGGAGCTCCACTTCCTGCAGCGGGAGCACACGCTCATTCTGCAGCCCCCGGCGAGCAAAGGTAACGGCCCCGTGCACCAAAGAGCTGCTCTGTCTCGGGAGAAGGCAGCCCCTTGCCCTGAGCCTGGCAGTTTGGTGCTGATAGCCATCCCGGAGCCTGGCYGAGCCTCTCTGCTCTGGCTTTGAGCCACGTGCGTTCCCCTGGCAGCTCCTAAGGGAGCCCTGTGAGTGCCAGAACAGGAGCAGCCTCAAGGCCTCCTTCCTGTTGCGGGATCAGGGGCAGGAGCTGACACCAGTTACGTGACAGGAGGGGGTGTCCCAGGCGCTGCTCTGCTGTCCTTGTCATGTCATGGGTGCCTTATGTCCCTAATGGCAGGGGCTGTGAGCAGCAGGGGTGGSGGCCGCTGTGTGCCACACAGGTTGTCTCGTGCCAGCCAATTTCAYGTGCCTGTTCCTTTGTATTCGTGTTAAAGCCGCTCTGTTCTTGCCAGGCTCCAGCTGGCAGTGGCAGTCCATCGACGGCGCTGTCCTGCTGCCCAGCTTCCCAAGCCCCCTGCAAGAGCTGACGCAGCGCTACGACCTCTGTGTTACCGGAGAGGGTCTCTCCCACCTGCAGGCTGTGGACAGGCARCAGCTGCTGAAGCTCATACCCCACATCCAGGTGTTTGCCAGAGTGGTCCCAAAGCAAAAGGTGAGAAATTTCAGCTCCTGCTARGTGCAGCTTTTGGAGAATTCCTTGTTTTGTCGCTGGCGTGCCCGGAGGGCAGTGTCCCGGAACACAAAGGGGTCAAGTCTGACTGGGCAAGTCTTGTTGCAGGAGTTTGTGATCACTACTTTGAAAAGCCTGGGCTACATCACGCTGATGTGTGGGGACGGAACCAATGATGTTGGAGCCCTGAAGCATGCAGATGTGGGTGAGTCCGAATGCAGGGAGCTCACACGTGCCCCTGAGCTGGGCTAGTGCTCCTAAACACAAAGCTGGTGGGGATTTTTCTGGTACTTTGGGGGCTAGAACTGGTTAAGATTCATCTACCTGACTTCCAGCTGGTAGCAGAAGAACTGACATAAAGCAGAAAGCTGCCTGTGCTATTGGAATCCTGGGTGGCTGCACCAGCAGGCAGCAGAATTTGGCTGCCAACACAGATGAGAGAGATTTTTCCTCATTCTGAGCTTTTTCTTGGGAAATGGAACGTGTCTGAGCTCCCCTCTGGCTGCAGCTGGGATTTCTGCTGGGAGAACATGCTCTGCCAGCACCTTGCCCTGCAGCTCCTGTTTTGTCCTGGCAGGAGTGGCGCTGCTGGCAAACGCTCCGGAGCGACTGCCGGAACGGAAGAAGCGAGCTCGGGATGGCCCCGGGGACGGGCGGCCGGCCCCGGTGCCCGGGGCAAGCGGCAGCGTGAAACCCACGTCCCGCGGGGCGAAGCACAGAGTCCTGTCCCAACGGGAGGAACAACTGGCCGCGCAGAGGGTCGGTAACGAGCTCTGCCTGTGCCCGTTCATGAGGTTTGGGGATTTTGAAGGCCGYGTGGCTTTTCCTTGCTCCTCTGTCCTCCTCTGGTTTCCTGTTAATTCAGGAGAACTGGAAAGAGCGGGATACACTGGGAAAGGAGCAGTCTTCCTGGTCGCTGCCCTGCAGCGACGGTGGATTTGATGAGAGGAGGTGCTACTTCTCCACACAGCCATCAAGCTAATGCCCCAAGCCTGAAGGCTTCTCAATCCCACCTTGGGGTGCAGAGCGTAGCACCGCGTCCCCCGAGTCCACGTTGTGATAACGGAGCGTATTTCTGTCTCCTCCAGGAGCGGATCAGTCAGGTCCTGAAGGACTTGGAAGAGGAGCGCGTGCCGGTGGTGAAGCTGGGGGACGCCAGCATCGCAGCGCCCTTCACCTCCAAGCTCTCCTCCATTCAGTGCAGTAAGTGCGTGCTGGCAGGGCAGCAGCTGGGGGGATCCGCACGGATTCAGAGCAGCCTCCCTYGGAGACAGAGGGCTCTGCTATTGAGACACGCTCTCAAACTCGTGCCCCTCGTGTTTCTGCGTGGAAACCGCGGGGGTTTCTCAGCCGGGGAGGATTTAGGCAGTGGGGGGCTATAGTCCCCCCATCTATCTCAGTCCCCCCGTCTATCTGAGGGACAGAAGCCCGGGGAACTCGTGCACTCGAGTTGTTCTCAGCCGCTGCCTCCTCTTGCCCCTCAGTCTGCCACGTGATCAAGCAAGGCCGCTGCACGCTAGTGACCACACTCCAGATGTTCAAGATCCTCGCCCTCAACGCCCTCATCCTCGCCTACAGCCAGAGCGTCCTCTACTTGGAAGGGGTGAAATTCAGTGATTTTCAGGCAACTCTGCAGGGCCTTCTCTTGGCTGGCTGCTTCCTTTTCATTTCCAGATCAAAGGTAAGGAACTTGGGGACAGTTTGCTGGTCAATACCCATCACCCTGAGAAAAAAAAGCTCATGAGAAACAGGGATGAGTGTCAGATTTTTCTTTTTTTTAACCATTCCTTGCTTTTCCTGCCTTTTTTTGCTCCCAGCCTTTGAAGACGCTTTCCAAGGAGCGCCCGCTGCCAAACATCTTTAACCTCTACACCGTCCTGACCGTGTTGCTGCAGTTCCTTGTCCACTTCCTCAGCCTGGTCTATCTGTACCAAGGTGCCCAGGTGCGCAGCGAGCCCAAGTAAGTGCTACACCAAAGCAGCAGGGGTTTTGAGTGTTAAAAAAGAGCCCAGTGCAAGTCCCTGTTCTTGCAGCACCTGCAGCTCCCCTGATACCCGCACAAGGGGGCTGGTTTTGTCAAGGCAGAGCTGCTGCTAATGATGGACACCAAGTTTGGGAGCAGCTACTGTTGCCCCTGAGAGCTTGAGTGTAGTGGAAGGGTTTTCTAAAATTAGCTTAACTTTCCAGGTGATTTTGATCCCTTTGATCTCCAGCTCTGCTCCTTTCCAGGCGAGAAGAGTTTGTGGATCTGTACAAGGAATTTGAGCCCAGTCTCGTGAACAGCACCGTTTACATCATGTCCATGGCAATGCAGATGGCCACGTTTGCTATCAACTACAAGGCAAGACACGTTTAAGTCACATCTGCAGTAGGACGAGGGGCAGTTTTACACTTAATATGCAGCAGTGCCAAAGAGATTCTTCCCTAACCCCAAAAAGAGATTYTTCCCTAATCCTATCCATGCTTTGTCAGGACTCTGTAGAGAAAAGCCTCCTCTTTTTGCACCAAGTTRGAGTGAGACAAATGTCCCCAACAGTGTCCTGAATTGCTGCGCTTCCTCTGCGCTCAGCGTGTGCAGAGCAGCAGCTCTATTCCGTTTCTCCCTTCGCTCTTSCAGGGCCATCCCTTTATGGAGAGTCTCCAGGAGAACAAGCCCCTGCTGTGGAGCATCATCCTTTCGGGACTCGCCATCGTGGGCCTGCTCAGCGGCTCTTCCCCGGAATTCAACGAACAGTTTGGCCTGGTAGAAATCCCTGCGGAGGTGAGCGAGCTCAATTACACCCTGGGTTTCCAGTGGGAAAACAGCAAGTGGCCTGGGGAAACCTGGAGGACCCTCCTGAGGAAATCTGGAGCACCCTCAAGGCTTTAGCAGGATCTAAGCCATATAAGAATTCCTATGGAATTAGCTTTAGTAGCTTTAAAAGCAGCTTTAAAAGCTGGAAGTAAAAGCTGGATGTAAAAGCAGCTTTAAAAGCTGGAAGTAGCTTTCAAAGAAGAGTAAAGCGCTGCTGAAGCCCTAGTTTAGCAGCGAAGTGTGTGTGACACCAGCGATGTGACGCATGTTCCCCCACGCCAGAGGCTTTGTCTGCTGGCAGAGCGTGCCTGAACGACGCGGGGTGGAAGGGGCCTCACGGGCTGTGTTTGTTTCCCAGTTCAAGGTGGTGATCACCCAAGTGCTGCTGGCCGACTTCTTCCTCGCCTTGGGAGTGGACCGAATCCTCCAGTTTCTGCTGGGCAGCGCAAAACTGAAAGTGCCTTCCTGAACCCAGGCGCCAGCAGCGCTCCGAGCAGCACCCAGAGCCACGTTCCCACCTCACGAGCTTCATCCTTAGTCTTCGGACAGTGACTCTGATCCTGCGCGGGAGCAGGGACGGGGAAGATTCCTCCCGATCCCATGGGAAGCACCTCTGTAGACCAATCAAGGCTGCTGATTTTTCACCCGTGCCAGGACGCACCATCACCTGGCGGGAGTTTTGTACTGCCCTACTACGCTCGAGGAAGCGTTTATGGAGTTTAATAACTAAATCAAAATCAATGTATTTTAAAACATGTTTGCAACTTCCTAGGTGGGGTTAGAAGCTTTATGGTGTCTTTAACAGGCCACGAGACTTAAGTGCAGGAGAAGAAAAGCAAAAACCCAACCCCCTAAAGACGAGGCTGACGCTAGCATTCCAGTCACGTAAGAAGGGCTGAGGGAATTCTTGCAGGAGGTAGGTGATGTTTAAAGCAGAACCTAGGAGAACAAACACAGCCAAAACCATCCCTGTGTACGTGCCCAGTGGAAGGTGCGTGTTGCAGGAGCGCGACAGAAACACTTGGGGAGATTAGAAGAGAAACGTTTATTTTCTCCCTGGGCAGCTCCTGGGCTCTTAGCTCGYGGACGTTTTCAGGTCCTCAGCGCAGAAGCTGCGTCCTCGAGAGCAGGGCCGGCCGCGGCGCTAACCGATGCTGGGGCCGGCGCGCGCGGCTGCCGTCCTTTCAACCACGAACGTGTAGTTGTACTGGAAGCAAAAAACAGTCAYGGACACGGGAGCAATGCAGGACCCCCAGCGCCGAGCGGGGCCCCTCTGCCTACCTCCCTCTCGATCTCAGCAGGAGACTTCACCGTGACGCCTGTAATAACAGCCTGGAAAGAGGCAGCAGCCGTTTCTCCCTCAGGTCAGTCAGGGTTGGGGACAGACAAGAGCAGGGGGGYGGCTGAGGGGGATACTCACCCGCACGCCAGCCTTGGGGCTGCTCCCAATGTTGGGGTGCAGGGTAAAGGGGACTCCGTCCATCACTGCAAGGCAGAGCGAGGCTCGGAGGTTGCGCCGAGGCTGCCCGGCTSCCTCCTCCGTGCAGTAAGAGGAGGAGGGTTTGGAGGAGGAAGAGCCAAAAAGCCACCAAAGGAAAAATATYCCCTTGGGAACATGGGTCACATGAGGAGCAGGGTTGGCAGGACTCACTCACCGGAGAGGGCGGAGGCGGCGGGAGTGTAGATGCCGGCGCCTTCGGGATGCCCGGCAGCCCCTGGCGGCCCCGGGGACCTGCGGCGCAGCAGAGGGGTCAGGCTGGGCCGGGAGCGACACCGCGGCCCGGGATGGGGATGAGGAAGCGGCTGCTCCAGGTTCATCCCGGGATGGGGATGAGGAAGCGGCCTCTCCACGGAGTCCCGGGATGGGGACAAGAAACAAGGAGAAGAGGAAGTGCCCTCTACTCCATGGGGTCCCAAGAAGGGGCCAAGAAAGAAGGGGACGAGGAAGTGCCCGCTCCAGGTTCATCCTGGGCAGGGGACAAGGAAGCACCTGCTCCGTGGGGTCCCGGGAAGGAGACAAGGAAGTGGCTGCTCCACAGAGTCCTGGGAAGGGTACAAGGAAGAAAGGGACAAGGAAGTGCCCGCTCCAGGTTCATCCTGGGCAGGGGACAAGGAAGCACCTGCTCCGTGGGGTGCCAGGAAGAAAGGGACAAGGAAGAAGGGGACAAGGAAAGGGCTGCTCCAGGTTCATCCCAGGAAGGGGACAAGGAAGAAGGGGACAAGGAAGTGCCTGCTCCAGGTTCATTCCAGGAAGGGGACAAGGAAGTGCCTGCTCCAGGTTCACCCAGGGGACAAGGAAGCAGCTGCTCCGTGGGGTCCCGGGAAGGAGATAAGGAAGGAGATAAGGAGATAAGGAAGCATCCCTCACTCCAGGTTCATCCCGGGAAGGAGAGAAGGAAGAAGGGGACAAGGACGGGGCTGCTCCAGGTTCATCCCGGGCAGGGGCCACGGCAGCCCGCCCCGTTCCCGCAGTCCCGCCCCGCTCCCGGGGGTGACGGCGGCGACCGCGGCTCCGGGCGGCACCTACGTGGCGGGACCCGGCGGCCGCCGCCGCCGCGCGCCCATTGGCCGCCGCGCGCTGAGCGGCAGCCCCTCCACCCAATGAACAAAGGAATCCGCGGGGTGCCTTCAAGGGCGGAAGCGGGAGGCGGCGCTGGGCCACGCCTTTATTTCCCGCGCGATACCGCCCTCGTGCTTCGATTTCCCGCGCAGTGCCGCCCTCGCGCCTTTTTTTCCCGCGCGCGCGCCCCGCGCCGGCTCCRACGTTCAGGCGTCCGGGGGTGCCGCTGCGCTCGGTGCCACCGCACTTGGTGATGCGCTCGGTGCCGCCACGCTCGGTCCTGCGCTTGGTGCCACGCTCGGTGCCACCGCGCTCGGTGCCAGCAGCCTGCGGACCGGGGAGCGCTCCATACGGCGGAAGGTCCTGGCGGCTGCAAGAGACCAAAGGGGCTGCGATGGGGGCGCGGGAGCCCCGGAGCGGGGGGGCTCCGCTCCCGGCCTCCTCTTACCCAAGGTCCCGGAGACGTTCTGCAGGGACTCGGTGCCGGTGTCCACAATCGCCCGCAGCAGCTGCCCGACCTGGAGCATCTCRTCCAGCTGCGGGGAAAACGGAAAATACGTGAAATCCCAGGAAATGCTGGCAGGGCAACCACAGAGGTGCCTCCGAGTTGAGGTTGGAGGGCCCGTASGCACCCTATGAGGCCGCAGCACCTGCGACACTCTGAAAGCAGCACTGACGCAGCAGGCGCTTCTTGCTTTGCACCCATCAGACCCACCCAGCACCCGAACCACAATCCTGCCTTACCTAAGCCATACCCGCTGCCTCCCATCCTGCCTTCACCCTAAGGAGCAGAGCCCAGCTCCGCTTTTAGCTAAATTTCAGTAATTCATCTATAAATTCAATCTTAAAGATTTTTTATTAATGCTGTAGAAAACGTCTTTTTCCCCCAAAAAATCCTTTCTAACTAGCTCACCACGAGCTCCATGCAAGTGAAGACTTCCCTCTGGTCATCCAGGATCTTCTGATAGTCGGGCTTGCTGAGGACAACTTCGGCCTGGGATGATCCCAGGTAACTCTCAGGCTCCACGTTGCCCCCTTTAAGCTTGCATTCCTCTAGGCGCCTGGAAAACAAAAGCCATTTAACTGCCACGCGTGGCTCCAGGCACCATTTGAAGCAGCTTTTTGTTGAGAATCCTTCAAAAACTGAACAGACACAAGATGTAGGGCAGCAGTCCCCACCTGGACATATTTTCAGCGGTTTGCTGGTACTCGAGTAAAAGCAGATCCCAAGACTGCAATTCTGTAGTAAACCTACAAAAGATCAGAGAACGGGGCTGTTATTTAGCATCCGAACCCCTACCGGMCGGTCTCCGATGACACACAGCCTCACCTGCCCATATGCTCCTTAATTTGGGCCACTGACTCACCCAAAGCAGGGTCCATTGAAGTCCTAAAACACACAACAGGGGTGAGTGCAGCTCCATACGATATTCCCACGATATTCCGATGCCCCACACGGCTCGGACGACTGTCCCTCCTTAGGATAGGGATTCTCCCTTAGAATTGGAGAATATGAGAGAGAAATCCTTTTTGATGGACAGCATTCGAGGGACAAAATGCACTTCTGACGGTTCAATATGAATCATAGGAAGAAGCCCCTTTACTGCAGATAACTAGCCCCTATATCCAATTATTCTATCCCTAAACGCGGGCGCGGGCTCCTTTGTGTCCCTAGGACAATTCTCTGATTCAAAGGACAGCAGCATTCSCGCTTGCTTGTCGCTTGGCCAGTTCATGTCCCGGTGCTCCCCCCTTGCACCCCTCTCTGCTTTCCTGCTTTCTCAACGGACTTTGTGTTTTTCTCTCCTCAAGGCCACCTTAGAGACAGAGCTTTGTTAAACATGCCTTTTCTAAGCGTGCTGTTAAACGAGCTATGTGCTCTGTTAACCTTCTTGTATGGCTGGTTCAGTGCACCCACTCAGAGTTCCTTCTAAGTGCCTTCCTACAAGCATTCATAAAAGTAACACAACCCAATCATTTATCCAAAAATACCACCATCTATTAAAACACCGGGCCCAAAGGCAATATTTTTTCCTGCTTGGCAAATTTAGATGATTAGACGGGCTATAAAGGAGAGACAGAAAAATAATACATTTTCAGTTCACAAGCGATGACAAGACAAATCCTTACTCCTCAGGATCCTCTTCCTCCACCCAGTTCTTCAGTGTCCCATCTAGCTGCAGTTTCTTCAAGTGTTGCTGCAGCTCTTCTGAAACCGAGTTCACTAGAGACAAAGTTTAAACGCGGCTCGCGCCAGCTGCCCGTAAGATAACCAATATTGASCAAGAAAGGTGTTCTCTCACTAATAAAACACTTGTTTAGATGGCATCAGAGTTAACATTTACACTGGTTTTCAAGGAGCAACCMAGGGTCAGTTGAGCCCATTCGTTCCTCCTTAAAAACATCGTTCAAATATTCCTGGATGCACCAGCCCCTTTTYCCAGGGTGCAGCTGGGAGGCTGGCAGGGAAGGACACGCCACGTTAAGTTATGGCATTTCMTTCGTTTTCTAGTACTACGCAACTTACCATTAGCTCTGAAAGCCGCAGGATCAAAGCCATCACCCTCCACCGCGGCCTTTTCAAGCTTTTGGGCAGAAAACTAAGAAAATGTTGAAAAGAAGGTCTTTTCACTCTTTCTTGAATTGTATTTTTTCCTAAACTCTACAGGTCATAAAATTGCTCTTTTTTTTTTTCAAGCTTTAAATACATATATAAAACATTAGAAGAAAAGTGAAAGAAAAACAATTCACTTYTACAGCAGAGCAGTAAACAAAGTAAATTCCTTACCTCGAAACTGAGCGTCAGCAGCTTGGAAAGCCTCTCTACCTCTGGCAATTCTGGGTCAATCGATTTGCTCAATTCTGGAAAACCAAAAGCAGGGAGACTTAGACCAAATTACAAACAGCTRAAGCGTTCTTGAAAGACGCCAAGAAGCCTTGTTTTAGTGAAAGCCGTTTTCAAGTTTGGGAGCAGGGAAAGAGGGAGAGGGGCTTGAAGGGAAGGAGAACGAAGCTTAAGCGCCAAACACGATGGGGAAGCCGCAGATCCTGCACGGCGCTGCTGCTGGGTCACGTCACCCAGCGTCTCAGCTCAACCTCAAGTTCCTGGGGCCTCCAAGGCGGCTGCCGAGAGGGCCATGGACATCTCGACAATGCTGTCACGCTGCGTGCGTGAGGCTGTGCCACGCTTTCCGCTTGCAGATGATCACGCGAGCTGCTTGGGAGCTGCACGGCAGCGAAGGGCAGCGCTTACCAGCGATGTCCTCGTGAAAGGGAGGCAGAGACTTGCGGCACGTCGTCCCCTTGAGGCTCCAGCGGCGCCACCAGTGATGCCGGGCGCGAGGGCCGCTGCTGAACGGCCTCGGAGCGGAGTCGGAGCCGGTCGGCGCCTGGTCCTTCCCGCAGCTCCTTTTGCACGGGGAGATCCTCTCACGGCTCGGGCTCCTTTGGGCTCTTTTCCTCTGCGCCCCTCCGGCCTTCGGGCGGCTGCTGGCGACGCCCGTTGCCTCGGGCTCCTCTTTCTTCTCTCCGGGCTCCGGTTCTGCGGGAAAAACGCGCGGAAAGGGCGTCACGAGCCGCCGGGAAGGGGGGGGGCGGCGGAAAGGGGCGACCCCGGGCTGCTGCCGCCCCCTGCCCGTTCCTCCCGCCTCCCCTCGCCGCACAACCGCCCGCGGCCCTTACCGGCCCCTCCGGCGGCGCCGCGACGCGGGGAAACCGGCTCGCCGCTGCCCGACGGCCCCGCGGGCGCGCTCCGCTCGGCCTCAGGCCTGGGAGAGGAGCGGCGGTCGCAGGCCGGCCCTGGAGCCGCCTCGGCCCGCGGGCTCCGCTGCCTCAGCCGCGGGCGCCACGGGCCCTCCGCCGGTTCGGCCGACATCGCCCCGTTCGAACGGCCGCGCGCCGGAAGCTGGCGCGGGGCACGCCGGGAGATGTAGTCAGCTCGCTGCCCGCCGCACACGGCGCATGCGCGGTCCGTGCAGGGCGCATGCGCCGCCCGGGCCCCGCCCCCCCGCCCCTTTTCCCGCCTCTCGCTGTGAGGAGACGCAGCGCCCTCAGCGTGAGTGGGGGACAAGGAAAAGCGGGAAGGAAAAAAGGAAAAAAAAAGGCTTTGGAAGTTTATTATTTTTGATAAAATTTCAACGGAAAAGGGGGGGGACTTTGTATTAACAGCTGCAAAAAAAAAAAATACTCAGTTTTTTTTTTTAAACACTAGACATTAAATTAGAATCACGTGAAATGACACAGGAGGGAAGGTCTTATTCAAGAGCAAAGGCCCATGAGAGTTTTGGTAAAGCAACGTTCTGATTAATTAGCTCAGAATGAACTCTAGTTAAGAAAAAGCTTATTTTCCTATACAAAATTACAATACAGGGAACGCATACAATTACAATACAAGGGGGGGGGGGTTAATGGTTAGCATCTATCAACTAGAACAGAGATTTCATAGTAAAAAAATTTATGGAAATTAAAATAAGTCAATTTTTTTTCTTTAAACTGTAAAACTTGAGACAAATGCCAAGTTCTAGAAGAGACACTTCCAGATCCTTACCATAAAATTGATATTTAAAAAAAAGAATTTGGTTCAGAAAATGAAGCAAGTTCTTTTCAAACGATTTCACATCCCAGTGGGCATAAGTAAAAAGAACTCAACTGCGCGAGGCTGAGAGGTAGAGAGGTATCATTGTAATCACAATCTTCTATTGGTTCCAGGGTTTTTTTTTTTTTTTTTCTCTGAGGTAATTAGCTGTGTGTCAAGTTGTATAAACAATAGTGTTGGCAAAAGAGCAACATTGACAAATTACACTAATGACCTCTTTCCTCTCATCAATAGGTCCTAAGAACTTAATTAGACGCATCCGAATTAACACTTCCAGGGTCTCCAGCAGGTGAGGTGATTGATGAAGGGGTGGTAGCATCCTGCCAGCTGCCATTAGCCTGGAGGGAGAATAAATGTATAATTTCATTAAAGCTCTAAGAAACTGCAGACAAGAAAGCACATGATTACACATTACAAGTGCCAGTGCTTATGAAAACAAGTAACTAAATATCACCTTTGGAAAGCACTGCCCAAGAACATATTATGAAAAAACAGTACTTAAGGCAAGAGCCTTAAAAACTGAAGATATAAACTTTGAGGAGGCTGGGAAATTGAAGCCAAGGTTTTAAACCAAGTTTCCAGCAATAGAAGGCCGATATATTAAATTCTAAATATTAATCCAGTAAAATACTAAATTACCCCCCCAACTTTTTTCCTATCCCCACATCAAACATTTAAGGGAAGAAAAATATCCGACATTTATTCACAGATCCATTAACCCATCTCAGGCAGTTTTGCTGCTGGTAAAACAATACCTCAGGACATCTTACATCAATGCGCTGCGTCGTATACAAAGGATTCCCCACAATTGTGTCATATCTTCCTGTCTGATGTATGACATGGTGTAAGGAATCCATCTACAAAGAGATCCCACAGAATAATAAAGGAAAAAAGGTCAAGTTAAAAATGAAGTAGTATGAGTACATATGTATTGGCCAAAAACAAACATACACCTTTAAATAAGGGACAGATTCATTAGCTGGTCCTTTCTGAAGAGATGATCCTCCAGCACTTTTTTATATATATATATATATATATATATATATAATCTCCTAAGCATTTATATATGTATATGTGTATATATATAGATATATATTTAGAACCTAGTCTCAAGCCTGCTATAGCATATACAGCTTTTATTGTACAGGAAAGATTCTAAGCTGCTTAGAAACCAAGGCTTATTTAGAAACCAAGCAAAAAACTTAAGAAATGGGCCTTAACATTCATCTCATTGTATGTATTTTTTTTTCTTACAATATTTACCTGTGACTGCACATTGGCTCCCACTGGGGAGCCCTGGTAAGAAGTCAAAGACTGCAAATTTATAAATGAGTCTCCGGAATTTGTCATCTTAAAAGAGCCAGAGGAAGCTGAAAAAAGAATGAACAAGTTTTGCTAAATGAAAAACAGATAGAAAGAAGAACACAAAACCCCACAGCATCATCCTTAGTTCTTCTAGGACTGCATATATCTAAGCGTTCTAAAAGAAAAATATGTTTTAGGATGGTCTTGAACACTGGTAGTCTATGGTCCATGTTGTTATAAGAAGTAATTTGAGACTTTCAAGCCCAGGGGCTCTCCGTTGGCATCTTCACTTGCCTGAATTTGGTGTAGATGGAGAATTTGCCTGGTTGCCTTGAGCCACTACATTTGTTGCATCCACCGCAGTTTTTGCAGCATAAATATTGGCTTCTTCTTGGAATTTCCCCATGTTTTTTTTGTATCGAATTCTTTTGTTACCAAACCAGTTGGAAACCTGGAGAAGGATACCTCTTATTGGTACTGGATCAAAATATTACCTCTTAGTACTTGATCAAAATACTACCATTTCCCACCATATTTTGAAGTTACTAGCACAAGTACATTTTTAACTAGTCTTCAAGCAGAAAAAAAAACCATACTGCCATGCTCTAAGATAACTAAAGCCCGTTAGTTTTAAGAACCAGGGACATAAGCCTACTGCTAACTACAGGTGTCAAATACCACTCAAAAAAGAGTGTTATTTAAGTTAATTGCAAAGAAAACACTTCATACCTGTGAAACGGTGATGCCACCTTTCTTTGCTAGCTCTTCTTTGGCCTCTTCACTGGGGTAAGGATTACTCAGGTGTGAATAAAAATACTCGTTCAGTACTTCCGTCGCCTGCTTGCTGAAATTACGTCGTTTACGCCTATGAAAATATGTATTTTTTTTGTTTTGTTAATTATGCATTATTTTTTATTATGTAAATCAGAGTACACCGTGGCCTGCTCTTTCTCTAAATTATACTTGATTTTAAGGAGAACGTGAGAATTGAGTTCAATGGATGCTATTGACAAAAGCGGCATTCCTTAGGAAGTACAACAAGTTCTACATATTTAAAGCAGATCAACACCGGAAAAACTTCAGTTTTCATATGCAATCATTGGCATCAAGCAACAAAAAAAAAGGTTCAGACTTAACTGTTATTACTAGATTGTGTTTTGTTCGTACCTTGCATCAAGAAATCGTGACCGCAGGATCATCACTGCCTCACACGTGCTCTGTTTCAGCTGCATCTGGATGGTACTGAATTTGCCATGGATTATATTCACCATGCGCTCTATTTCTTTTGGGGAAATTGGTCTTGTTCTACTCTGTTCCCTAAGCAGGTTCATAACGTGGGTCGTGAACTCACTACAGGCCTGAAAACACAGACATTCGTATCGACAAACAGTAAAATACCCCAGAATTAATTTCCCCACAAGAATATATATCCCCAAAACTTTAGGCGTTCCCATGTTTCAGCTTTACTCTATTTACTCTAAAAATACAGCAACAAAGATAAATCAGACATTCATTTATCTTCAGCTCCATGTCAAGTCCCTCTAGCTACACCTTACATCTACAACACTGAGATTAATTTTTAATCGAATTTGATAGCCTTACATTCATCTGAATTTATTATACTGCCTGTTCTGTTCTTAAAACCAAAGGAAAAAACGATTATTTTAAATTGAGATGATAAAAACTCTTCCATGCAGAAAGATCACCTGTTCATATTTCTCTAGCTCAGAGTGGTATATCTGTCGGATCTGTGACAGCTTGGCCCTGTAGTCAGAGTGTTCAATGCTATTGTCATTTGGACAGCCACCTGATGTTGCTGCTACAGCCATCGGTCCTCCTCTTCCTCTTTTCTCGGGCCCGGAGACACCCTCTGCCAGCAACATGTTATCTAGTCTCATTAGCTGAGCATCTGGGGGGTCTTCTTCCTGAATACCGCGAATACTTAACACTAGATGAATATAAAGAGGGAAGCAAGAGGTTATTTCTGGAATGGGACACAACAACTTGACATCGGGGCAAGCGTTGATGTGCCCTTTGGAGGCTTTCGCAGGGTTCTGCCTTCAGGCCTAGAGAAAGGGTTAACGGAGCCATAAGACAGCGCATCAAAAAGGAACCGAGCGCATTACCGAGATCAAGACACACCAAAACATGAGGCGAGTTTTCAAATGCACACAGATAAAAAGACTACTCACAGTCACTACAGCTTAAACGGCACCAAGTTTGGAAGAGATTTAAGGCCTCGCGCAAGCACTCCTGCAGCGCGTGACGATGACAGCAAGGTCCTTACAGAGCAGGTGACCACGCAGCAGCCTCTGCACGGCTTCCTCGGCAGCAATCGGCACCGGAGCGCAAAGACTGCCTCGAGCTGGCAGGCAAGAGCTCTGCTGCACCCCGGGCAATTCCTAGGTGCCAGGGACGGGAGAGAGCAACACGCTACTGTGAGATCCCATTGACCTCTCTGCAAAGGGAGGAATTTGACCTAGTCCGCTTTATATGCTGGGGATACAACTTCACTATGCAGCAACACACAATAAACCGAATAAACTGAACAATCTAGTTTGAAAAATGTCCCCAGAACCTTTCTGATGCTTATACTCTAGTATGAGGGCAGCAGAATAATCTGTATACACAAAGACATTTAGGGCATACATTTCTAACAAATTCCACCATTTTGCAGGGAAAAGAACAGCTCATCTAAGTAGTAAAACCTCAGGTGCACATTTTTGAGCATACAAAGAGACTAAACTTACAATAAAATTGTTGAACTTTGACATTTTGCAGGTTCTACAGAAGTTGCCACACGCTTCCGAAGAGGTAACTGGGAGCAGCTAGAGACCTCTGCTCTGTCACTGCAACCAAGGTCTTCTCCAAAACATTCCCACTCTTACGGCAAAAGGAAAAAGGCAAAGCGAAGGTAGGTACAAAATAGTAAATGGGATGTCCCTTATGGGCAGCTATTTAACTCAAGATAAGTT